ACTTTCTGGTTTTTCTTTGAAGACATTTCACTTCTCATCCAAAAAGCTTCTTCAGCTCTGACTGGATGATGGAGAAATGGAAGGATTTATACTCCTTGCAGACAGCTGGTCATTTGCATTCTTTTAGTGCAGGGGTATCAAACTTAATTTCATTGAGGTCCGCATCAGGGTTGTGTTTGTCTTCGGGGTGCCACGTGGGCATGGCCAGCTTGTGTTGGCCATGCCCACTTGTGTTGAAGATTCACTTGTGTTGAAGATGCCTGTGGCAGCCCAAGTGCTTTGCCAGTGAAAATGGAACTCTGTTTTTGCTGGCAGAGGCATCTCGAGCTGGTCCTTTGCTGTTTCCTGAGGGGGCACATGGGCCAGATCTAAGCACCCCATGGGCTGGATTTGGCCCCAGGCCTTGAGTTTAACATCCCTGTTTTAGCAGGTCATTAAGGTCACCTGAAGATTTATCTGTGTCATCAGGGTCTTCAAAGAAAAACCAGAAAGTTCAGTTGCCTCTTGAAAAAGCATGTTTGGAACATGTTAGACTTACATGTTGTGAAAACAAATGAGTCAGTCTCTAAAGATGGTGACACTGGATTAGAAGGCTGATAAGGATCTTTACATATTCGCAGATTATATTAAAAAGCACAAGCTTCTGTGAACAGAAGACTTCTGAATTTTTACCACCATAGATTAATATGGCTTTCCTAAAATAGTATCACTGAAACATTGAGGGTAAGTTGAAAAGGGTATTGGTTGATGTTGAGTCTGTGTTCACAGAGAGCTTCCCCACATTCTAACATCCATATTTACACAAAAGGTAAGGCAGTATTACATGAAAATGCTAAAAATTTTTCACAAAGTACGTCCACAAGCTATATGCAAAAGAGCCTGAGTTGGATTGGATAGAAGCCAGGGTTCTTTTTTCCCACGCTACTTGGTTTTAAAAGAATTGCCAGGATGAATGGCAATTTTAAAGTTTTCATTAATTTACTATTAAAGGCTGAGCAATAGAATTGAAGACTAGAATTGCCTAGAATTGAAGATATTTATACTAAGCCTAACAAAGGCTTATATACAAATGGAACTGGATGAAGATTTTAAGGTATTACCATAAATACTCACAGAATATTGCATTGTTAAAACAGCTGCTTCAATGTAATTTTGGCATTAATTTCTTGGTGCTTCCAACACAAAGTAAAACTCAACACACTGTACTATCATGCATATGTCTGTATAGGTAAACATTCTGAAAAATGGAGATTAGATGGAGACTAGATGGAGATTCCTTTGGCATGTATTATCTCATAGATTCTGAGAATTTTCCTGTTGCAGCTGAAATTATTAATGAAAAAACAGGAGAGATAAAACGCTTCCCAGAATGACTGCAGTACAGTTTTATCAGGGTCATGATAAAATTACTCTAAGCAAAGGTTGTTTTTGTGGGTTATTGAACTGTCCAACATGAATACTTGAACACTACATATTGGACATTTTGGATAAGTAAATATTCAGGCTCTAGAATTATATTTTTGTCTGGTTTGGTGGGAATTTTCTGTGTCAGTTGACAACATGTTCAAAGGATGACACAAATGTCCATCCCACCTCTGGTTCATTAGCTGAAATGACCTTTTTTGCCCTGATAAAGAATTAATAAAAATCCAACAGGATGAGTTATTAAAAGCACAATATTTTTAATTGTAGTGGATACATATTCAAAATGGCCAGTGAATTAAAAGCTTGCATGCAAGAACAAATAAAAGGCCAGCAATGTTGTTCTTAGACCCTACCTTATAGAACAGCTTAATTTTAGAATAGTACTCAAAACAAGTTGAACAATCATCTCATGCACAAAAACTAATGTCTTCATTGGACAAAGTATTAGCAAGAGGAATGTCAGTATACATAAAAGTCATAGCAATGCCTATATTTGTAAATATAACAGGAAGCAGTATAGTGTACTGGCCTCCTCTGTCTTGCTGTAGGAATTTCCTAGCATAATTATAACATTAATGTTTTTCATAAATGATAGCAAGTAATTCAAAGGAAGACTGACACTTGAGATCGATTATTTTATTCTGACATAAAGCCTGAAATGCAAAGAGCTATATCAGCCACAAGATGGCGTTAACAAGATTAAAAGAATTTAAATAAACATGTTAATTAACCTGAAAACTACACTGCTGAAGCACATTCACATTCTTTTCATGTTCCAAAATAGCAATAATTTTTCTAAATTATTGATGAAACTCTATGGTGAGGCTTATAGTGAGTAAAGCATCATGTTGTTACAAGAACATCTAACAGTGTTAACCTAGGTTCACAAGGTAAACTAAAAGTAAGAAAGAGAGCTGTAGGGATTATATCAACTTTAAAAGGAAGAAGAGAAAGTAGTCTTTCTCCTAGCCAAGATAGTATGATAGCAATAGGACTAGACCAAAATTCCTCAAATCATATTTTTCTTTGGTTTTCTCTCTAAAAATGAGCTTTAGATTTCTGTATACATGACTCAGATCTTATCAAGATTTTGGAGGATCTTGGCAAGTTGGAAAAAATAGATAGAAACCAATTTCAACAGGAAAAATGCAACTCTACATTTGGGCAGAAAAAAACAACAAAATCATAAATAGGGAAAACTATATTGGGTAACAGTACATGTGAAAATGATTCTGGTAAATTTGATGGCTTGGAAGCTGATTTTGAGCCAACACCATAATCTAAGTAACACAACTATAGTGTAAACATCAAGAAAAGCACATATTTTTCTCTATTCTGGATTGGTCAAATTTTCTGAACAATACATTTGACAAATTGGATGGAGCATGTCCAATAGGGAATAACCAAAATGATAAATAGTTTGGAAGGAAAATCACAAAAAAAGTTGGAGACACTGTTAGCTATAATTATCTTCAAGAATCTGAGCAAGATGTGGCAGCAAGATGTGACAAGGGATTTAAACTATAAGGAGATTTTGATTGGACATCAGAAAAAATTCCTAATCAAGAGTTCCTCACCAATGGACTAGTTGCTAGACCACCTTGGAAGATAGTAGATTCTTCTTCACTGGAATGTCTCAACAGAGGCTGTATGACAGTACTTGCCCAGAGTTTTATGTTTGAGATGGACAGCCATATAAAATGAATGAATGAATGAATGAATGAATGAATGAATGAATGAATGAAT